TAGAGTGAAAGGCAATCTAACACTAGCTGACACTGGCTGGGAGGTACACTGACTAACTGATACTGACACATCAATGACACTTATACAAAGATCAGTACTAAAACTGTACACTGTCTCTATACTAATGACACTGGCTGGGAAGAGGTTAACATGTAGGGGCACTCAAGGGGTTAACTATGTGCCTAACACTGTGTAGTGAATGTGATATGTGCTGCTTTTAGTTTACTATCTGGCTGTTTTTTTCCCCCGCTTTTCAGGGAGTTCTGTGTTTCTGTGTGGTTGGACACAGCCGATCGGTTGATTTCAGCCAAAATAATTGGCTGAAGTCAGCTACCAAACTCGTGTCCAATCACAGCATGGGTTGACAAGGGATGCCCATTCACATTCCCCAAACCTATAAGAAGGCTGATCACGTACATGTATGTGATCATGCCTATACCTGCCGCTTGCTCACAGTATATTTACTGTGAGAGGTCGGCTAGTGATTAAATCCTGATAATAATAATAATAAATAATAATATGTGCCCACCTACAGAACAAAAACCACAGCAGCTGACTACAAGGAACCCCAGTCAATGACTCGATTGAGGTAAAACCAAAGAACTAGGATTTCCGAGAGGAAAATGTTATGTCCTTTCCGCTATACACTAGGCTAATAACTGAATTGTTTCAAAGTGAGAATGTTTCAGCCACCAGCAGTGGTCACTCTCTGAGCTGTCTTTTGTTTTTTTTTTAGTGGTGCCCAGTGTCCTACTCCTGTAGGTGGCATTACACCCAGTTGGTGATGATGTTGTTGAAAAGTGGATGGAGATGGAAAAGATTAGCAAATTTTCTACTCTTTTCCATCCACCTTTAAGAAGCAATCATTTGCAAGAATTGTACAACTTTGTAACTAGAGACCAGTTAGGCTAATGGGACTCTATTTCTTACTTGAACTTATACTAAAATAGAGGTTAGACAAGAAGAAGCTGAACAATAGCACCCCATGTTACATATTCCTTAAATAGTTATTATGCTTGTACTGAAAACAAATAACAGGTATGTTGTTAGAGTTATACACAGTAGTCTGTCGTCTGTTTACAGTGATGGCTTCATTGTATGGTATTACATTTTCTAATTCAAATAGAAATACAAAATGAAAATTCATGTTGAGTAATTGTAGGATTCAAAGTAATCATAATCTAGTATCTAAAATGCCTTAGATTTCAATCCAATTAAAATAATTATGATTTTAGGCAGATTGATATTACTGCCCAGGACTCAAGATTTTCTTCACATGAAATAATTTGGTTGACTTTTATAGTTTGGAAGTAAGGACAGGCATTGGTATGGCTCACCAGAAAAGAGCTGGACATTATGTACATATTCAGACTCTGCCATTATGTTATTCAATTATACAGTAGTACAGTCTTTTTGGATCACAGGGATAAAATATAGGTCCACTATAGTACAAATTCAAACAATTTTGAGTAATGAATATTGTGACCAAATTAATGTACTGTAATTTCCCTTGCACCTTTTTATTTCTAAAAAATGTTCAACAGGTCCTTCCAAACCACATGAGCTAATGAAATAAAGAAAATATGTATTTTAAAACCCAATTAAATATGCATTTGTTTGTTTGGTGCCAATAAATCCTCTCTTTGATCACAGACAACAAAAGGCTTGAAGTTTGTTACAAAGAATGAACATCAGTAAACTAAGATTAAAGCTCATTAAAATATTATCATACCTGTAATGAATTCATTCAAGTAAGCCTTAAATATTTCCAAAAGTCTCAAATATTTCTGTGATATTTAAATGAATGTGAAGTTTATTCTGACCACAGGCAACATCAAAGAAAACTATTCATGCTTTGGGCTTAACAGAGCTTCAGTGCTGTAAAGTTATATCACCTTCACAATTATGCAATCACATCAGATAAATAAAATAAAGAGAAAAGGAAGGTTTTCCCCTGTGTGGAATTTCACTGGAAACAACATGAAAATACAGAGGAATAACCATATTCATTTTACTCCTTTGTCTTTCTTGTAATGCGCTTTCAATGATTTAAAAACTTAAAAAAAAAGAAATTCACTGTTCCTACTCATTACAATTTAGGTCCCATTTTTATTTTTGAATATAAAAGCCAGAGAATATGTGTTCACATCACAGGTAATAACAGGAAAGGCGAACTTGACTTTTCTTTATCATGGCATTTGAATTATTCATTTAAATTTATTGCGCACTAGCCAGGATGAAAGTGAAAAGTGACCATAAGCAGAAAAAAAGTTGCCATTCTCTCATCTTGAGGGGGGAAATATGATAAATGGCAAGTTAGAAAGCAAGATCATTTTCCATTCCAAGCCAATTCATTCATCTGATAAAAGAAGGCTCCTTTCAGATTTTGTCGGTAAATTAAATGCCTCAGTGTTACAGTAGAGGATATATTATTAGGGGATATGAATTATTCACAGAAACTTCTATCCTAGGTAGGACAAGAAGACACAATGCGGAGCATGGGAATTAATTCAGTGTAAGATTAGTGTTTGAATGTGTGCAGGATGTACAGATTATAATGCTTTAGGTATCGGAGGTTACAGAGTTGATTATGTATTAATCTTTTGGCTTTTTTAAAGTAAGAAAAGGTCTAGACATATACATTATATCTAGTCTCTTTTTTGTGAGCAGATTTACACAGGTGTCTTTCCATTTATCTATCTGTCTGTCTATCTATTATCTATCTATCTATCTATCTATCTATCTATCTATCTATCTATCTATCTATCTATCTAAGAAAGGAGCTACAGTGCTTTTTTTTGCAAATACTTTGCCTGGATTTCAAACAGGTAAGTGAAAATGAATTTCAGGCTACCAGGTTAAAGACAAAAGGTTGGAAAAGCAGCAGGTGCACCATAACTATCCTTAGATAAATAATTGAAAGCCCGAGCAGGCCAAATTTGATCTCTATATTTCTTTAAGGCTATAAGAAATTATTATATTAGTGTACACTTATTTGGTAATTGATAGGAGACTTCATGTGACCCCCAACCCTATTCTGACCTTGCTACACATATAAAAATATAACAATCATCATTTACTATTCATTTCAAATTCATTGCACTTTAGATGCTTTCATGATAAACAGAACATTAAAGTTTTATGAAGTAGCTTAATACTTCCAGACTTATGTATTCAGAAGATCATATTTTATCCCTTTTAGACTAGTCATTGTTGGTCATAGTTTTCATCTTAATAAAACTCCCACCTTGTCACTGTAAATTAAACTACCAAATGGGTAGCAGACTCTTATCTTATGCAAGTACCTCCTGTACTTGCAACAAATACCACCCTTGTTAAATTGTTACTGATTTATGTGTTAATACATCAACCTTCTGGTTTATTTGGGTCTTCAATGCAGGACAAAGGCAGAATTACAATTATTTAGTATCTAATAAAGATATTTAGTCTCATTTAGGGCTCATGTACACTGCAGCTCCCAAACTGACATTCAGGAGCTGTTCAGTGTTTTTTTCAGCAGCCCCTGAACTCTTCCTAATGTTTTCCTATGTGTCCATGTACACATAGGCATTTACAGTCGTTTACAGGCAGTTGAGTTTACAGTCGTTTTTTTGAACACACCAGCGTTCAGGAGTAGATTTTACTGGCGTTTCAAACGCTAAACGCTTGTAAACACTTGTAAACACGATTAACCGTGTTTATAAGTGTTTGCGTTTAGAAGTGTTTTTTCATCAACAGAAATGCATGCAAAGCGTTTTCCATATATTCAAATGGACCTAGTACACCAGCGCAGTCAGTTCCAGGTTTTGCGTGAAGGAAAAAATGGTAGAATGTGCCGCATTATGCTCATGATGGGATCCATAGTGAATACAACCAGAAAAGACAGGTCATCTCAACACATACTACTCTCTCTGCTTCTGCTCTCTATTTCTCTCAAAATGTCTGAAATAGTTAAATTTTTACTATTTTTCAGTACATTCTGGGCATTTTGGAAGGTCTCCTGATGTTATCTTTTAAAAATGCTTCCAAACACAAACGCACATAAACATGCATATACATGCATAAACACTGTATACAAACGCGGCTAAACTGATGTTTTTTAACCTACCTTTTCCAGCAATCAGTTTCCATTGTTCAGAAGAGTTTTCCAAATGCCCCATGTACATGAGTCCTTAATAAAGCTTACTTTTTCCTTACTAGTAGAAATGAGCTGAACAGCCCTGGATTTAGTTCGGCAGAGGTTCACTGAACTTCAAAGACGTTTTGATGCTGAGCCTGAACCCTATTGAAATTATTGGGAACTGCATTTGTCAAATTAAAAACATCCATTTTCTGGTCTAATATGCAATATGGTAGGTGGGGTGGGCACTGACCTTAGGAATATGTACCCATACAAAAAAAAGTTTAAAAAAATTCCATGCAGCTAGAACAGTGTTTTTTTTTTAGCACAGATATTTACAAAGGAAAACAAGTTTTCAAATGGCTGGCAAATGACTGACAGCCGACATTGCCAGCTGCTTTAAAAAAAGACTCCCCCGAGAATCTTCTATATATTTTATGGGAACTTTAGAGGGGTTTGTGTGCTGTTTTTCTTTTTTTATTGCAAATGAATGTAATTTGCCTCCAGTTTAAACGGTTTATATTTTTTTCTTCGTAAATATAAATTTTGCTGTAATACATGCAACTTCCTTGCACTTTTTGTTGACTGTTAGTTTCTTTAGTCACAAATGTCAGACATGTCAAAAGTACTTATAAGTACAGGGATTTAAACTGTGTGCCGGATATATTTTCTTCTATAGTCTCTATATAAAACTACATTTAGTCACAAAACTTAGCCTGTACCACCCAGGCTTGGAATGTTCACCAACTGTGACATGAGTCAAGGCAATGAGGCTCTTAACAGAACAAGGTATACCGTATTTTTTGCCGTATAAGACGCACCTGACCATAAGACGCACCTAGGTTTTAGAGGCAGAAAACAGGAAAAAAAAATTCTGAACTAATGGACTGCAGACACAGTACAGGAGATGACCAGAGACTGCAGACAGCACAGGGATGACCAGGGACTGCGGACAGCACAGGGGATGACCTGCGGACAGCACAGGGATGACCAGAGACTGCGGACAGCACAGGGATGACCAGAGACTGCGGACACACAGAGACTGCGGACAGCACAGGGATGACCAGAGACTGCGGACAGCACAGGGATGACCAGAGACTGCGGACAGCACAGGGATGACCAGAGACTGCGGACAGTACAGATGACTGCTGACCTTTGGGGAAGGCGGGGAGCGGGTATCTGAATTTGACAGGTACCCGCTCTTACTTCCGCGGAGTTGTTCTTTGATCTTACCTGTTCCTCGATATAGCCGCGCGCTGTCTTCCCGGCTTCTGTAATGGCGCTTGGCATGACAGCCGGGTGCCCAGTGCGCATGAGCAAGAAGCACTTGCGCTTTTTGATTGGTCCGGCGGCTTCTGGGATCTGTCATGTGTCCCAGGTACCGCCTTACCATTCACAAAAAGCACCGCTTCTTGCGCATGCGCACTTGGCACCCGGCTGTCATGCCCAGTGCCCACACTACAGAAGCCGGGAAGACAGCGCGCCGCTGGATAGAGGAACAGGTAAGGTCCCGCTGCAGAGATGAGCGGCTGGCCCGGTATTCTGACACGGCCGCGGTGGAAATACCGGACCGGCCGCTCCCCCCCCATAAGACGCACTGACATTTCCCCCCCAGTTTTGGGGAAGAAAAAGTGCGTCTTATACGGCGAAAAATACGGTATCTCTTACTATTAAAAATAGATCTTGCACCCAAAATTCAAGGTCTGCTTTTTAAATGCTACCCCCCCTCCCCCCTGCAAACATGATAAAGTAAAGAATATGTTATCTCAACATTTCATATTCCTGACATGTGCCTGTTGTTGTACCAAGAACTTCTGTTAAAAAGAATCCTGTTCTCTTTGTATTGCTACCTTTGTGTGAAATACCTGGTGATCATGCCAGTCCCCCTGCTATCCTATTCTAAACTGACAACACTAGGTATGAGAGCACACCCATCCCAGCATGGTTAGTTTTGTGACTATGCTTGGAGAACAGCATGTCTGTCCTCCAATATCAGATTTTTTGCTCACCCCCCCCCCCCCCCCCCCCCCCCCGCTTAGCCATTCCCCAGGGAGATCAGTGTACTGCTGTTTCTCTGCCAATAGCTCCCTAAGCCCCGTATGCAGGTGTGTACAGAGATTCATTGATTACATATAAAAAAAAAGAAAGTATATTTATAATTTTTTTATATATACAGTACCATAATTGTTTTTTCTTTAATTCCTATTTTCTAGGGAACATTTTTTTAAAGTGATACTTACATGCTCTGTGCAATGGTAATGCACAGGACAGCCCTGATCCTTCTCTTCTCTGGTATCCTGCTGGCACTCCGGTCTCCTCCCCCTCTATTGAATGCTCCCATAGCAAGCTATTGCTATATGGGAACACTCGTTTGGGCTTGATCCCAAGCCACGCTTTGTGTGACCATTTACACAAACAGTGCGGTTTGCCCTGCTATCGCTCCCTCCTCACTGGCTGTGATTGACAGCAGCAGAAGCCAAAGGCTCTCACTGCTGTCTCATAGCTAGTGAGGAAAGAGAGAGCAGTGATGCTGCTTTCATGCACAGTACTGGAACAACATCGGTTTCAGGAAAGTATGTGGGGGGACTGCACACAGAAGGTTTTTTTTTTCCCATAATGCATAGAATTCATAAAGATAAAAAAAAAAACTGTCTGCCTTCAGAACCATTTTAAAGTATAAAACATTTACCTGGAAAATATGAGATAAAATATGCACTTCTCCTATGGCTTTCACCCATTGTAGATAGGTGAGGGTGACATCATCCAGCTTCTGGCAAGATTTGGGAAATGTAGAGTAGCCTGAACAGGGGCGGACTGGCCATTTGGAAACTCGGGCACTGCCCGAGGGCCCGGGGTCAGTAGGGTGTCCCAAGATGAGAATGCCCCTGGACTACCATTTTTTCATAGGCTTTTTTGTGAGCTTTTTTGGGCAAGGACACAGGGGCCCCATGATCCCCTATTGCCTGGGGGGGCCCCATGAGTTGTCAGTCTGCCCCTGGCCTAGAAACATTCATACATAAAAGACATAAGGCAGAGCCTCAGCAATCCTCATGTTATTCAGTTGCTTTAAAGTGGTTGTAAACCTCTGAAATGAAAAATAAACAGAACACATCCCTCTATAGTATGTTCTAGCCTCAATCCAAAGTACCAAGTAGGATTTCTGTCTTCGCTCTCTTCCCTCTTCTATCTGCATTAGGCAAATGTCACTGGAAATACCAACACCACAGAATCTCTGGAGATGGACTGCCCCACCTGCCCTCCAGCACCCAAAAGGTTATTGACAGCCTCAGATATGCAATTTTCCCTATGATATTATGTAGAAGTGATGTGTTCTTTCTCTAAACTGGGTCTCAGATTACACTCAGTTCTCCTCTATATGCTGTGCAGTGTGTGATATCATATCCCGGGCCATGCCTGCTGGAATTGAGAAATGGCCTTTGATCTGTATGTTTTGGGAGGCTGTAGAGAAGAGAGGGCTGAAGATAAACATGTACAACTTATGTAGGAGGTTTGTTTCATCTCTATGTATCACCTGAGGCTAGTCATTTCAGATGGTAAATGTAAGTGCTTACAGCCACTTTAAGTTATAGTGATTACTTTACTCAATCCAGCTGGGTATTATTTTTAGGAACTTGTTGCCATCAACTGCCTTCAACACAGTCATTGATGATCCTGCTACTTCAAAGGGGTTTGAGAGTGCATACATAGGTTTCAATTATCTTTAATAAATGTTTATGGCAGTAAAGCACTAGTCTAGTGTGTTTTATCCTTACTTTTCTATATTCCAATGCTGTCAAAATGTTCAGAACTTTTTACTACAGTATCTTCAAATTTGCCACTGGGTCATCATTGGTTCAGTCGAACAAAGCATTTTATAGCACTGAAACCTTTACATTCATGACCCACTCTGACCACTCACCATCATAATTTAATATGACATTTGGCAGGGCACTGCATTCACACTGCTCTCCCATTTGCAATATAATTTAATATTCTCATTTGAGAATGTTGGTGTTTTGAAGAGTGACAATTCTGTGACAATTACTGTTGTTGTGACACTGAACATATGGCTGGAGTGGTTGTCAAGCTTCATTATACATGCAACAAAACTAATTTGATCACTCTAACAAAACATGAATAAACATTTGGAATTGCAATTAAAAAATGTTGAGATTGTAAGTGGTTTTACTTGTACGCAGAAATAAGTAGCCTTTAGATTGAGCATGATAACCACCTGTCCAATAAATGCATCAATATTCGTTAAGCCAACAGGGATTTGTGTTTATAATATGGATTACTGTGCTTGAGTGGTTTATATTAAGTTCTAATTAGTACAGTCTTGCTATCACTAGAACTAGTTGGATATCATCCAGCAACAGCCATATTGCTAAATAGCGCGTTCAAGTAACTATTTTGTTCACTCTTATATACTTTTATAGATATGAGAAGAGAAGGCTTTAGTATATGGCACTGGTGGAGAAAAGAGAGGAGTATATTATATGTTAAGCTGCTCCCTGCCCCTATATTAATAGTCTAATAATTTAACATCCTTTATAGACACTCCCAGTGGCCAATGGTCAGCAGCAACTTCAGCCATTTTTCAAATTTCTAGACCCTTGAAGTTTTTGTGAAATTTCTGACTCCGGAAAAAACAAAAGCTAAACTCCTATATAAAAAGATTTCACCTGTCTTAAGAAAAGAGAAGCCCCTGTACTAAGCCATCTTAATATTGGGTACTTTTACACCCTTCCTGCCTAGACCAATTTTCGGTTTTTAGTACTCACTTTGATTGACAATTACTCATGCTACGTTGTACCCAACTGAAATTTTTATCAATTTATGAGCTCAAATAGAACTTTCTTTTGGTGGTATTTATTGACCACTGTATTTTTTATTTTTTGTGATATAAGTAAAAGAAGAGCACAAATTTTGAAAAAAAATCAATATTTTCTACTTTCTGCTTAAAAATAAATATCCAATAAAATCAAATTTCATCATAAATTTAGGCTACATTTTGGTAAAAAAAAAATCCTGCTAGGTGTAAGATAATTGTTTTTTGTGAAAGGTATAGTATCTACAAGCTATGCTATGTGCGAATTATTCAGTTCTGTTCAAACTGTCTATCTCATTTCTTGAGGCCCTAAAAAGTCAGACAGTACAAATACCCAGCAAATGGCCCCTTTTTTGAAAGAAAGAAGACAGTCCAAGTTACTTAGTAAGAGGCATGGTGAGTTTTTTGAAGTTGTCATTTTCTCCCCACAGTTGTTTGAAATATAAATAAATATTTTTTTTTCCCAAAATTGTCATATTGACAAGTTATTTCTCACACACGGCAAAGGCATACTTGCAATTACACCCCAAAATGCATTCAGCTACTCTTTCTGAGCATGCCTATACCACATGTGAGGCATTGCCTGGCCATATACAGAGGCCCAGCTTCCAAGTAGCAACTTCAGGCATTCTAGAGGCATATATTACACATCTAATTTCCTGACAATGTATCATATTTTTGAAGGCCCTGGAGCACCAGGACAATGTAAAAACTCACAAAATGACCCCATTTTGGAAAGCAAACACCCTAATGTATATTCTATGAGGTTTAATGAGTCTTTTGAACATGTAATGTTTTCCACAAGTTTTTGGAAAAAGTGGAAAGAAAGTGAAAACATTTTTTTTTACACAAAGTTGTCAATTTATAAAATATTTCTAATACACAGCATGTACATAGCAAGAATTACACCCCACAATACATATTCTGCTACTCCACTTGAGTATGGAGAGACCACATATGCGAGACTTTTTCTACATCCTGACCACATACAGAGGCCCAACATCCAAGTAGCACCTTTAGACACATAAAGGCAATGGAAACACACACAAAATGACCTCATTTTGGAAAGCAAACATCCCTATGTATATTCTATGAGGCATAATAAGTCTTTTGAAAATGTCATTTTTTTCCACATGATTTTGGAAAATGTGTAAAGAAAATGAAAACCTAGTCAATGGGCAGCACAGTGGCTAAATGGTTAGCATTTCTGCCTGGCAGTACTGGGGTCGTTGGTTTGAATCCCAACCATGACACCACCTGCCTGGAGTTTGCATGTTCTCCCTGTGCCTGCGTGGGTTTCCTCTGGGTACTCCGGTTTCCTTCCACACTCCAAAGACATGCTGGTAGGTTCATTGGATCCTGTCTAAATTGTCCCTAGTATGTGTATGTATGAATGTGAGTTAGGGACCTTAGATTGTACGCCCCTTAAGGGTTAGGGACTGATGTGAATGTGCAATATATATGTAAAGTGCTGTGTAAATTGACTGCGCTATATAAGTAACAATAATAATAATAATTTATGAGCTGTTTCTAACACATAGCATGTATATACTTACAATTA